GATCAGCAGAAAGTGTGGCTTTCAGGCAGTGTCTTCGCAGTACTGGAATCTTGCTCCGGCTGGCGCTATCGCATCATGGGTGTGCTCCAACTGCTAGGCATGACTGGCAGGTAATTGTGATAATAACTGTGATACGAAGTCGTGTATAAGATACCACTCAGTTGTGGTAAAGCTTACATCGGCCAAACGAGCGGATGCCTTAATGATAGATTTAGAGAATATGTAACTATGGTGAATGCTCTGAATGATGGGGTGCATCTTCCTGCACATTGCAGTACTTACGGCTGAAATGCACTTTTCGAGGAGGCAGACGTCATAAGTAGGGTAAAGGGCAAGCGTGAGAGAGAGATCGTAGAGGGGGAACAGATAAAAATTGCAACAGAGGCGTGCATCTGACTTTGAGGGAAATAAACTTCCTTCAGCCATTAAGCCTCTCAACTGTTCAAGCGTACCCCCTTCATGTTATCATTAACACATTTGTTACCCAGGTATTTGTTTTTTGATTGAGTGACAATCTGGTCTGACTGCGCCTGCGCATGTGTTTTCGTGGTGAGACACTTTTAAGATACACCCTATTGCAAGTTAAGCATCTTTCTTCTAAGTTCTCATCCTTTCCTTCCAAGCCTTCGCTCTTCTATGCCAGAAGTAATAAGCTCATATGGTGTGATAGCACCAGCTGGACCGAGTTCCATCACCGCAGTGATCCCGGCTGAAACCCTAGATTTGCCCAGAAGTAGTCAAGGCTAGTCGGTGTTCGACTGGGCTGAAAGCCCCACTTTCTTTTGTTAACTTTTCTTTTTGTCATGATAGTGCATCATTCATGTGGCAGTATTGAAAGGCAAGTCAGTGAAGTTGAAACTCGGTTGGTGTACATCGATTCCTTCGCCAAGGTACAGTGGTTGTGGTGCTCAGGTGCGGACCGGAAGGTTGCAGGTTCGATCCTGGCCATGGTGCTTGCGTTTGGATGGAGGGGATATGCCAGAGGCCAATGTATTGCAAGATGTCAGTTGACGTTAAAAACCATGCTCCTGTCAAAATTTTCAGAGCCCTTTGCTATGGCGTACCTCATAATCATGGCTTTAGCAAGCGAAATCCCGGATATTATTATTATTATTATTATTGTAGTTTATCTGGCAACCTACTGAAATATGCCTTGTAGTTGCCTAGGGTTTAAGACATTTAACGCTCCATGCGTTTTTTTTTGCATTGCTTGACATCTTGCACAACGAAGGCATGTTCTTGGCAATGATGAATTTCGGCCGTTTCTTAGTAAGTTAGTAAGTTCTTTTCTTTTACCATGTTTTTTCTAGCTAATAAGGCTGAAACTTTCTCACCTTAGGTCAATGTCCAATATACAGTGGACTCCTCTTAAATGGAACTCTTAGGGTATCCACTGAATTGTTCCATTTATCAGAAGTTTTATTTGAGCAAAACACATATTTTATGAACCAAGAACTTCATTTAATTAGCACCAATCCAATAGTGTTAAATAAGTTTTGCCATGTTGCCCCGCCGCGGTGGTCTAGTGGCTAAGGTGCTCGGCTGCTGACCCGCAGGTCGTGGGTTCGGATCCCGGTTGCGGTGGCTACACTTTCGATGGACGTGAAAATGCTCTAGGCCCGTGTGCTCAGATTTGGGTGCACGTTAAAGAACCCCAGGTGGTCGAAATTTCCGGAGCCCTCCACTACGACGTCTCTCATAATCATATGGTGGTTTTGGGAGGTTAAACCCCACATGTCAAGTTTTGCCATGTCACATGGTATACTGTTGACAATGTCGGAGCAGAGTCGTCTACGTACTGGACCAACGTCACCGCATATTCGTGTACGTAGGGCCATTCCTACGCCCACATCATGCCCTCAATCTCTATGCGTGCGTTGGCAGAGGGGAGGGGGAGTAGCTGTCATCTTAAAATTTGACCCATTTCTGCGGGCGCATAGCGTTGCAAATTTTGGCAGACGTGATCATGAATGCCTCGTCTACGCATTGCACTTGTCAGCTCAAAATTGTCAAACCTGGTGAGTGGCCCTTAAGGTGAAGCGCTCAGTACCCATTTGGAGCACAATCTCTCGTGCTTTCTGTTCCAGAATGAGTCCACTCAAACTCTGCGCATGTTTGAACCAAGTGAAAATAACTTTTTCTAGCTCTTCGTAGCGTGTCGTCCGCATCTGCTTAGAGGTGAAAGTCCCATTTTGGATGTTGAAGTTGAAGTTTTCATTCATTGTCTCCTATTGATTGTCTCTTTGTTCTTTAGGATCTGCAACAGGGTCGACTTCGGAATGTCGAACTACTTCACCAGCTTCCGTCTTGGACAGACCACCTCGATTGAGCTCCTTAAGAATTTCAAGCTTCCTTTTGAGCGAGAGTGCCTCATGTGGCTGGTTGTTGGTGCTCTTCATCGTACCAAAATATCCACATGTACACACGCAGTAGGCTTCACTCAGCTAACAGTACAAGCTAGTATGGCTACTGGATTGGCTTGTCAGGTTATGGTTATATATAATTTTCATGATTGAGAGACCAGCTTTGGAAGTCTGTGCTGTGTGTGGAAATTGTGCCATTTCACTGTATGGGGCTGATAAGTAGTGTTTCAAATAAAAGAAGAATTTTATTGTGCTGAACATAGTAATCCAACCAAATGATCCTGTTTAATTTTATTAATAAGGCATTTTCGTTTCACTGATTTTTGTTTATTGGGAGTCCACTTTAATTCACTCACCTTATGTGAACATGGGCGTGCATTCACATGGGAGTGCACGAGTTCAGTTGCTTGCCATGGCTGCCGCATTTCAATCGAAGCTGTGGGGTTTAGATATGGAGAAGAGCACCACTGTTGTGACTGGCACCAGAGCTGACGAGGGAGTGGCGCTCTTTTGATTCTCAAACAAGTAGCCGCACGGCCTGCTGCCTATGCCCGCCAGTTATTGTTCCTCCTAGCCAGAGGGTGAGGCATCATGTCGCCACGATGCCATAAGCGGTTCAGGAGACAAGTGCGGCCACAAATCGCCCCCCTAATTGAGTGAACAGATCAGCGAACCCTTTGATGTATGCTGTCTAGAGCTTGGGTCCCCTCGACCACACACAAGACACGACGAGGAAAGAGCCTCGCTGGCGCCACCTTGGAGTGCACGTGATCACGACTCAATATTGGACCTTCACGTGGGCCGTGAATGCTCGTCCCCCTCACCAGTTGTGTGTGATCTGTGATTGGACAGTGCCATCTGCTTGTGTTCTCTGATCTAGGAATCTGGGGAGAACATATCCCTTATAATGAGCCACCCGGCTCATTTGAAGGAGCACCATGTAGAGGAACTGCCAGATTCGAGAGCTCTTCATGTAAGAAAGAGCTTGTCATGTACGAGAGCTCACCATGTACATATTGTAAATAAATCTTCTTCAAGTCTCTCTTCCTCCTGCCTCGACTTCATCCGGTGCCTGCAAACCCCGGTCGTAACACCACGCCTCAGGGACACAATCACAGTAGACACGGTCGGAACAAACTAAACAACACACATTTATTTAGCTACGTTTAGGACGACTATATCATCAGCCAAATTGTTATACATCAATTGTGATCAACACGCTAAAACAGCCTTACACAAAATTGCACAATGCCTAACAACATAACAAACACAAGAGCACACAAAAGGCGGCGTTGCCAACGCTTGACTCGCCGCACGGGCCCGCGAGCAACAACCCGCAGCGCCGTCCTCATGGGCCCACTTCGAGAGACAACCGCTCTCTCCCACGCTGCCACCAAGGTCTGCTGCCAGGCGTCACTGCCGGCGCCACTGTTCTAACCATGATGATGATGTAGGTGATATAAACGCTCGCGAGCACAACGCCATCTACCGCTCGGTTGTTGTGAACCCGAAATGCGACCTATGCGCGAGACACGTGTGTCGTGAGGTGCAAACAACTTTACAAGAGGTGTACCCCCACAAGTCGAAATACACAAAAATACTTAGTGCATCCCAGGACAATACGCACCCTTGGCCATGTAAATTTGGATTCATTGGTCAGCAGCATGTCAGTGCCTCTCTGCCATCATTTTCACTGTTCTATCGTTTTCGTCATCATTGTTGTCTCTTGTTTGTTGTGATGTGGCCACAGTTTCTTCGTCGGGGATCATGATCAGAGAAGAAATTCTTCCTGAAAATGTTAGAATGGGGGATTTCAATGACCACTGTGCCAAATTATCTAAACACAAAGGCTTTCATAGAATGGGGGATTTCAATGACCACTGTGCCAAATTATCTAAACACAAAGGCTTTCATCGGGAGCTGTTCTTACACAGCGTGTGTGAAATACTTGTCAAGCAGCATGAGGCACATTTCATGAATTTTTATCAACCTCGGAAAGTACGAGACATTTGGCATTGACAGTCATCGTGCGAAAATCTTCTCATGGCTGTCACAAAGCAAATAAAAGCAAGGAAAACTGTGGGCGTTGTCAGCAGTATTAATCAAACTTCCACCCTCTCAAGTATTGGAGTGCTGTATCCCATTTCTGAAGTTATGGGCTTGCATATCCCGGCATCTAAGGGGAATCGCATGCAATTGCAGTGCTAATTTCAAGGCAGCTGCAGTGACAGTGACTATAAAAGAGTGTAATGCTAGAAATAAGCATAGGAAAAGGTTGTGACGATGATTAAACATTATGTTTGCTAAGGGAAGAGTGTGCAGATTAGTAACACATGTAACAGTGTTAATTTTGAGTGGTGAGCCCAGCAAAGTCCAGAATTGGGCAGTCCTAACCCATTAGTACTTATACATTGAAAGAACCTGGAGCACCTTCTGTAGTTCTTGCTTCTATGTAGCATCAGGGATTATTCACCATTCACATGGATTATTTCATGTTTACACCTGTACTCACTGTGCAAAATATGCTGCCTGTTGTTGTTTTCTTGCTCTGGCACTTGACAGTAGTTTCTACTTGTGAGTGCATAAGAGTGAATCAACCAATACATATATTTTTCTGCTGTTTTTTTCTTTTCCCAGACACTATCCATATCTATGCTACTCCGGTACTCTCACCACCAAATATTTGTCTTCATCGGTAAGTTAATGCATCTTACTGAATTTTTTTTCTTTTCTTCTATTGTTTCTTATGAGCATGTACAGCACGGAGCAATGAGATTTAAGAGGTGCAAACCTCGATACAGTATTTGAGACGACCTGATAACATGCTGCAGGAGAGCCACATCGCGCTGGCGATATCTGACAGAAGGCAAGGAAATGGCCATGGTTTCGGTTGCCAAAGGAACTGGTCATACGCATTGCTCCCATTTCTTTGTTTCTTGATTTGTTGCCACAAACTCGTTACGTAAATCTATGCCTCTTTTTTTTTTTTTTCACTGCCAGTATAAATGCTCGCTTCTCAATGGGAACCGTTGGTCAGCCTGAATTGTGACGGGTGCTTTTTAACCACTTCACATTGATCAAACATGGGGGAACATCCACAATCATGACAGTGAATCCCAATGTGGCCCTGGATTGCTTTGTGAACATTATAATGATGCTCTTTTAGCCTTTCATTAAGGCAGTAAGGCATTTCACAATTAACTCGGGAAATTATAGAAGCGCATTGTATAGCAAGAGCTGGCAGCACGTGTATTAGTGCCCCGTCTTTGGTTTTACCTGAACATGAAGTGGCCTTCCTTAATCAGCATAACCGCCTATGAATCTGTGATATGTGACGGTATGATGTTGTGTGTAATCTTGTCGTTGCGTTGGGTGGTTTTGTATGCTTGCGCCGGTCTACATATTTGATGCAGTTTGACAATAAAGCTCAGCTGGAAGTTAGCGCTCTGTCTTCTTGTGTCGGTCTGCTCGGCCGTTTCTTCTTCCCCGTAATGCGCTATACCAGTTCAAGTACGACGAACCAACTCGCCCAATCTTGAACACTTGTGGAGAAATAGAGGAGGCATTGCGTAACCTTGTAGAGACTGATGCGGCAAAAAAGAAGTGTTTTGTCCTCTAAAGGGAATGCTGCTGTTGTCTGGTCACAAATGCTGTCAAAACGCACACACACGGGCATGTTCGGCTAAAGCCAGGTCAGGCAGCCAGTCACTTTTTTATAAATTTGTTGTTGTTTAGCTGCACTGTGGTTGCACCTCCGCGCTTCAAGGCGCTGCTAATTGAAGTGCCTTGGTCAGCACGTGGTATCTATGTTATTTTTGCAATGTTATATGGACGCCTGTGTGCACCTTTTGTAATGACTTTTCCCACATAAAATTCCTTATTCCGTTGCTTATCCTCATGTGCTTCTTGAGAATAAATACATTGACATGAAAGCTTTTGACTTCACGTGAGTCTTACACCTCACATATGTAAGGTAATGGCATGCTCGAATGAATATTGATGCGTCGACATTGCAGGTCTCTTGTGGAGTGGTTTGTGTTTGTCGCTTAACTGCATAGTTCGGTCGCCATGCAGAACTCGTGGAAATAGGCGATAGCCATACCTTACACGATGTGCTGACATTCGTTCCCAAAATTCGTAAGGACAACTGAGCGGCCATTCTTCAAGTGAACAAGACCCCTCGCCAAGCAAATTCTTTTGCTTAAAAAGAGCCCTACATTTCCATCCGCTATGCCTTCGTGGTCACAAAATGCCTTATTTTCGACAAGCACCATTATACTACAGCGTGGTGGCACTGTGATGTCATCATCGACAACGTGCAGAGCAGTAAAACGTTGCTTTTCTGATTCCTCCACCGACATAGCTTATTCGGCCAAAAACGTTGCACTGTATCTGCGCAGATTAATTATGGCTTCATTGGCTTGCAGAAAATCCATCCTTAATATAAGCTCCCTTGAACAGTCCGGCAGTACGATGAAGTCAGCACCGTAAGTAAAGCCTCTTATTTTGAGCCTTGAGGTGCATCCGCCAAGCGGCGCAATAGTGTGGCCACCTGCCGTGCGTAATTGTGCCCCACTCCATTTCGTCACAACCTTTTTCAGTTTCTTTGCCAATTTGTGACTCTTTACTGAATAATCAGCGCCGGTATCAACTAAAGCATTCGGCTTGTATCCATCTCTTTTTTACCGAAAATCTTAAGTAGTATTCGCACTGCTGCGCTTATCCTCTGTAAACATAGCATCGTTACCTTGAAACCGTTGTGGAGGATCTTCGCCACTGTAGTTATCAGCGGCCTCGCCTCCACAGATCGTTTGCTTCAGTTTTCCAGATGTGGGCTTGTAGAACGGTGCCCAAGCCGTGCGGAAGAAGCACGTGGGCTGGGTGATCAGTAATGTCTGGGCGACGGCGATCTTGGATAATGTTGGCGTGGAGTGAGTGGGCTCTGGCGCAACTGGCGCAAACTCCGCAACATTTTGTGGTGGGTTGCGGGCGAGAACAGCGAATAGCTCTTGCTTCACCCCACGCATAAGGTGGCGCAGCTTTTTATCTTCAGTCATATGGGAATCTGCGCGCTTGAACAGGCGAATCATGTCCTCGATGTACATTGCGACACTTTCGTTGGTGAGTTTGTTTCTGGTTTTAACCGCAGCCTGCGCCTTTTCTTTGCGATCTGTGCTGGCATAAGTTGCCAGAGCTTGTCGCCGAAAATCATCCATGGTAGTAAAGGAGGTTTCATGGTTCTCATACCCCCGCAGGGGCGCCTGTGAAAGCAGGCGTTTGGTGTGTAGCGACACCACGGACCCGAGCTAACGGGGGAGTTTCTACTCCCTCCCACGCCTAGCCGTGCGTGGCTTTGCCGTGTCCGGGGAAAAGGGGATCCTGGGGGTTGAGCCGACGCTGGGTGATTGGACCGTTAAGGCCCCCCGGCAGAGGCAACACACCCCTTTGGCCCCGGCTTCACGTAGACGGCACCCCTGGGCTGACCCACCCAGGGGAAATCGGCAGTCGCCTTTTCCTATCTCTCTCGCCCTACATCTTCGTCTTTATCTCTTACTATTTATCTGTCCTGTCTTCTACTCTTTTCCGATTACTTCCAAACTTCCTGGCGGCTAGGGTTAACCCTGTGCCTACCTTGGTCTAGGCGCATTGGGTTATAGTGGCGTTGTACGGCTGGCGTCTGCAGTTCTCAGCATCTGTAAACTTGTAGCGTCCCCTTGTTTGGCTCCGTGGTGGGTGGCCGCCAACGCTGCTGAACAAAAATAAGACCGGCATGCATCGAGCATTCCCTCAACTGTCTGATCGTACCGGCCTAAAGCGGGTACGCACCGACGACATAAACTTCTTCAACCAGCCAATAGAAACTTTTCCCCACTTCCACGTCATTCACTGTAAAAAAACCGGAAAACAAGCCAGGACCGTATCTCCTTTCGTAGTTGCCGGGTGTCTTACTGAAACTCTCGGGGCTGGATACAAAGTAACCAAAATGGCTAGCGGAGACCTTCTTCTCGAAATTCGGGACAAAGCACAATATGTAAAGCTAGACAGCCTCTCAACGTTTGGTGACGTGCCGATCACCGTAACACCACACAGATCCATGAACATCACTCGCGGAGTAGTATCTGATGCAGACTTACTTGAACTCACCGAAACTGAACTTTTAGAAGGGTGGAAGAGCCAAAATGTCAATAATGTACAGAGAATTATCATCAAATACCAACGAAACATTTGATACTCACGTTTGCATCCAGTAAATTACCAGATTCCATACAAACAGGGTACACAAAGACATCTATCAGACCGTATATACCAAACCCTCGTCGTTGCTTCCAATGCCAGAGGTATGGCCATGGCTCTAAAACCTGTCGTGGTCGCCAGACTTGTGCACAATGTGGAGTCCTAGGCCACGTGTCTGAGAACTGCAAACAACCGCCACACTGTATAAACTGCGAAGGAAACCATGCCGCATATTCACGCTCCTGCACATACTGGAAAAAAGAAAAAGAAATAATTACATTGAAGGTGAAGGAGAACATTACGTTTAAGGAAGCACGGCGAAGAGTCGCTCCATTCTATGGACCTACATACGCTGATGCGGCGCTTCAGGGGGCACCGCCACACCAGCCCTCGCCACTCCTTCGGCCCGCGCATACCGAGCCGGCGGTTGTGGCACCTGCCCCCAAGGCGGCTGTAGCCCAGGCTACACCGCCTGCTCCCAAACAGAGACCGGAGATTCCAGAGTCTTCGGGTCTCAAGGCCTCCCCTCACCAGGCGAGGCCCAAAATCCGAACTAACAGCCCGCACGTGCGGGCATCCAGTGCCTCCGAGAAGGCAGTGGATACGTCGGCACCCTTGGTGCCGAAAGAGCGGCGTGGCTCGTTGGAGCGCGCCAAGAAAACAAAAAAGCAAATAACAGGGCCTGGTGATGGCCCTGTTAAGTGAACTCAAACTCCCCGTCTAAACAGCCACCCGCTTTTCGTACACACAGCATTATTTTACATTCACCATGAACACTCAAATTATACAATGGAACGTCAGGGGCCTTCTCGGAAACCTTGACGACATCCAAGAACTCTTACACGAACACTCACCAAAAGTGCTGTGTGTACAAGAAACACACCTTAATTCAAAACACACAAATTTTCTTCGTAAACACGTTATTTTTCGAAAGGACCGTGATGATGCCATGACATCATCCGGAGGTGTTGCCATCATAGTGAAACAAGGAACTGCATGCACACACTTATAACTACAAACATCCCTTGAGGCAGTGGCTGTTCGAACGGTTCTTTTTGATAAACTGATCACAATCTGCACTATTTACATTCCTCCTAGCTATCAGCTGCAAAAACGTGATTTACACTCTTTAATTGATCAACTTCCGGAACCTTATGTGTCCCTTGGAGACTTTAATGCGCGTAGCAGGCTATGGGGTGACTCTCGGTATGACGCGCGAGGTCGACTGATCGAACAGTTTCTTCTCTCGTCGAGCGCGTGTCTCCTAAATCGAAAAAAACCAACCTATTATAATCTCGCCAATAACACCTACTCCTCCATAGACCTAAGCATAGTATCTCCATCTCTTGTGTCTCTACTCCAGTGGAAAGTCGTCAGTAATCTGTACGGAAGTGACCACTTCCCCGTAGTTTTGAGCACAAATACAGTAACTGAGTGTCCACCACGACTTCCCAAGTGGCT